TAAAAAAAAATAACTAAAAAAAGAATGAATAAATTTAAATAAATAAGGAATAAAATACATTACTAGAAAAAAAATACATAAATAACTTAAATAAAAATAATAAATAAAATACTAAAAATAAATATCATATATAAAAATAATAAATGAAAATATTGATAATTAAATAACTAAAAAAAATGCATAAAAAAATAAATAAATAAAAACATAACGATAATTGAATAAATAAATATGTATATATGCATATAAATGCATAAAAAATGAAAAAATAAATAAATAAAAATAAATATTAGAATAAATAAAAGAATAAATAAAAAACAAAATGAAATTTAAAAACAAACAAAAATAAATATAAAAATTAATTAATGAATAAACATGAAAAGAATGAATAACAAAAATAATAAATAACTAAATAGATTATATAAAAAAAAACAAATAAAGAAAATAAATAAATAAATAAATAGAGCAGAATGAGAGCTGGGTTTTGGTCCAACAGAATTGATTACAGTCAAAAGCAGAGGAGAAAAAAGGCAATAATCCAGAGCCTAAAATTAAATTAATGTAGAGTGCACAACCTCTGCAGAGATCAAATCCAGACAACAGCCTGTGCTACTTTTCCCAACTAAATGTCCCCCGGTATCAACAAGTCAATGAAATGAGGAAGTACAATTGTTTAAATATCCTGACATGTCAATAAGCACACACCGTTTCTTGTCAGCCTGCTTTGACTGCAGATCAAACTCAAACACATGCGAGCCGGCAGATTCCTGACAAGGAAGGTCACTGGATGCATGACATTATATCCAGAATGCAGACAGACGAGCATAGAGAGCAAGAATGATCAATACACATCAGACTAAAAGCAACCGCCCTTGCAAATCTAAACAAATGAAACAAATGCATGAGTGGAAGTCTCTGCCTTACCCAAATACTGCAGGTGGATCACATCAGAGCCAGCAACTTGCTGATGCTGATTCATATTCCGTTCACTTCAGCCCTTCCCCTCCAAGTGCGAGACCGCTGTCCTGCACGGCTAAACCTACTAAAACACGAGTCAACAGAATTCGAGCGCGAGTTGTGAAGGAGCATTTCATTGGCTGGAGCTATTAAATGAACACACCCCCCCAGTGAACAAGTCAGTGTTTTAAATCAGAACAAGACTCTGAGCATTACTTAAAGGGGACAGTTTTTACAAGATGCAACGCAAGTCTCTGATGTGACTAAAGCGTGTATGTGAAGTAGAGCTGCACAATAAATCATTTCAGCATCGATATGGCAATGCGTGCTCTGCAACAGTTACATCGCAAGACATGTAATGTTGGGTCTAGGCATGGAATGAAAACGGTTTTCAACGTATACAGTCATTTGGAGAAGTCAAAATTTTCTGCTATAGCGTTCCTATTAGTGTTGGACGATATGGCACATATTTCGATATAAGTTATTAATGCTTCCAGATTTTAAAAGAGTATCCCAATAATGACTGAAGCCACAAAAATTTGAGGGTCTAATAAATGGCATAACTTTCACCTGATAAATTTTCAGTGGCCGAAACTTATCGTTTATCGACCCAGCCCTAGTTTAAGTGTTAAGAATTTTTTTTTTACACAATTTTTTATTTATTTTTTTCAGACAACAGTCTCTCCAGCAGAAAAAGATATCCAAAGATGCCAATTTAAATTGTAAAAATGCATTTTTTGCTAATTTAAACTGCATTTTTGCAATTAATGAAGACAGCAGGAGTCAAAGATTCATTTTAAATATTTGGCTTGACAAGTTTACAGTTCCAAAATATCTTAAATGTTTCTCAAAATAAAATATTTTGTGTGTTCAATGGGGAAATAAAGTTGTTGTTTTTCATCCAGACATTTAAAAAATATATTTTAGAGCAGTAATCACAATACTGTGAAACGTGATATTTTTTTATCCAAGGTTATCATAACTTCAGAATCATATATAAGCCCATGCCTAGTTAAGTCTGAATTACAAATGACCAGGAACTACAAAATTGTGTTTAGTTACTGTATTTATAAAAGTTTTGGGAAAAAAGTTCTCTTAATTTAAATTTTTTTTTGTTTCTCATCCAAATATCAACATTTCAAAACAAAAAAACAAGAATATCTTACATAACCCCCCTGACAGATAATTTTGCTTGTTTTAAGAGAAAAACTCTTAATTTTGCCTTATTTCTTAAGTTTTTAGTTCTTAAGTTATCTCAAGTTGAAAACAAAACAATATTTTACTTTAATCATTTTTAAATATTTGGACATCAAACAAGACAAAGTAAGAAATGCATTTTTTGCATTGTAATTATTTCATTTCTATACCTGAATACTGTTAAATAGTGCTCCCAGAAAGCAGAAAACTGTGAAATAGTGCAATTCAAGTTTTATGAAACTGTATTCATATTATAGTTTATAAAGTTCTGTGATATAAATATCAATATTTATATAGATGTTTTAAGGCTGTAAAATCCCTCACTACACTCTTTATACACTTTCCTCTAGCAGGCATTAACATTTTCACACTTTTCTCTTTTGTTATCACACTCATGTAACTTCTACCTTTAGCATGTCTAGAAGTCCAACTTTTTGCGCGATGGTTGGCATCTTCCTCTGCCTTTTAGGTGCGACTGCAGGTGCCTTTGGCGGTGCAGAATGTTTAATGGACAAACAAACAGCACTTCAGAGTAGGTATGGGGCAATAACTGTTCAAAAGTATATCGCGGTTTGGAAAAGTCAAGGTTTTAAAACCATCAAAATTTTCTGCTATACCATTCCTAAGGTAAGAGGAAGATTTTATTTAGGACAACAGTATTTCTAGCAGAAAAGATATCTAAAGATGCAGTTTTAAATTGTAAAAAAAATCTGTTTTTGAAACAAATGAAGACAGCAGAAGTCAATATTCATTTGAATTATTTAGCCTGACATATTTCCTGTTTTAAAATATTTTAGAAGTTTCTCAAAATAAAATATATTGTTTACAAAAGGGGAAATTGTTTTATTTTTTAACCAGACATTTAAAAAGAACATATTTTTTTATATCCAAGTTTATCATACCATCAGAATCTTATACCAGCCCATGCCTACTTCAGAGTCACACTGCTAGCGATCAAAGATTTATTTAAATTAGGATGCAGGACACAGCGCTGTAAAAAATCATGTCAGATTGCACAAAAAAAAAAAATCTGCGAGACCGCAAAAGGTGAACCGCGTTTTGGCAAGGGACCACTGTATCAGATTTTCCCAATTTCGTGCAGCCCTAATTTCAAGTTTCACCAGAAAAATACTATAAAAATAACCTTTTTTTTTATTTTTTATAAATAGCTTTTTAAAACTGCCCTTATGGAGGCTTGATACTAATTGTGCCATTTATAATACATATATACTTTAAATTTAAAGGAAATTGTGGTTTTTTCAAAACAGGGTGGAGCTACAAATGCTTATGTGTTAGAAACAAGATTAACATCCTATGCTAATGAGGAGATATCATCGCTAAGGGTCGGGGCTTTCCCTCTCTGATGACATGTACGAGGGAAAATGTCAAAGTGTTTCTAAAGACATTAAAGAAATAACATTCTTTTTTTTTACTATTAGCAGCAGGCTATATTTGCAGACTGGTGCCACAAAACTGTTTAAACACCCTATAAAAGTGATTTTTGCACAACAGGTCCTCTTTAATGAGTCATGAATGAGAATTAATTAACTGATATGCACAACACAAGGTTTTTCCAGCATGGAGAATTACAAGATGGCCCACCTCCATTATATTTTGTACATTTTAACATAAATCAGGCGCATATACGGATAACAACAGACCACAATTGATGCTCAAGCACATGTTGTTTATTCAATTAGAATTTGACCTTCGCCTTTTTTTTAATGATTTAAAAATGTGTTTGTTTCAAGTAGCAACAATTTCAACCAACTCTGCCTCATATTGAGTCAGGAAAAACCTTACAACACATGATATATTATCTGTCAAATATTTATGGCACAAAGACTCTATCTGGTACATTTACATAACGCAATTGTCATGAATCTTTGTACAGGTTCCTCATTTAAAACAAATCAGTTGAGTGAATGACTGAGTATCATGTTCAGGAGGTGACCAGGTTCAAAAGATCTGAATCACAGACCTTCCAATGGATAATTCATCGCAAAATGAAAACCATTTCATAAAAATGTCATTATGCAACAGAAAGCTCAAACATTTGCTTTCTTTAACAAACCGATAAGATCTCAAAGGGGACAAGAGTCACAGATACTATTTTGGCTTTGTCTGCATGTTTTTCACTCTGAGCACCTGTAGCTGATTTTCTGAATCACCAAGCACCAATGTTTTGCCTAAAATATATTTAATGTCAGAAGAAAGTCACATTGACATCTAAGATGGCTTTTTAAAAAAAAAAGATCCATCCCTTTAAGTATGCAGAAAGAATCATATTTAATACACTTGCTTAATTAACGCTTGACATCGTAGATGTGTGCACATACAACAAAAGGAGCATCATCTTCGTTGCAGAGCATAAACAACATGCAATGTAATGACCAGGAAGAAAACTGTTCATCAAAACAAGAGAAAACTAATCTGATATGAAACACAACGTTTGTTACAACGAGTCCTGGCCTACTTTTTATGATCACAAAGACCTTCATAATTACACAAACCATCCCGATTTACCCGAGCCATTATTGCATCCTTGTATTCAAGAAAAGGAGGATGACAACCAAAAGTGAAAGCTGATGACAGTCCAAATAGAAAACGATCTCCTAAAATGTCCCATTTTGCATCTCACGTTTACAAACACCCACATCCAAACACCAAACATTGCCACTGCCTAGAAAGCAATTGGGAAACAACTTATTAGCAACGGGGTGAAGCCCAAAGCTGCTGCAAGTGCTCTCGCAACAGTTGTCGAGGGCGAGAAAGAAACACATGTCAGGAAACTCGGGATGACAGGTTACAGATTGACACACATCCGACATTAAAAAACGCATTTTTACCGTCTGCTCGGGTCCGGAGATCCGACATAGTTCTCTGAACGGGCGGCATCGGTCCACCAGTCAGCCGAACGCTCAAAACTCCGCGTCGCGTTTCTCTTTTCAGCCGCCTAGGGATCTTAAGCGCCGGTGACCGTCACCAAAGTAGCTTTCCCACAACTCCCGTGATCGGTAACCATTCACTTAGAGTACGGATTCATTCTGTTGATGATGAATAAAAGTAGTTCCGCCCTCAATAACCCGCTCCAGCATCCGCGCGGGGAACAGCACGCCAAATCTCTCCAGCGCGCGCAGAAATCGATAAGCGCTTGAACACTGAATGTGCGCGACCTCTGCCGCTTCACAAATTGGACTGTACCAACTAAGAGCGCAGAGGGGGGGGCGAGTCTAAATTACGCACATAGACTAGTGGTTTAAATACTGAAAACGACAACGCTCTTTAATATACAATATTTGATTAATTTTTATTAAATTAATATCTCCGTATATAAAGAGTAAGATTTATAATATTCTAAATAGGAACTGCAATGAAATGAAATCCCCTAATTAGATGCGAGTGTGGAAAGGCCGTCTGGAGATTCCCTGCTGCAGTTACTCGCATTGTTTCGAAGCGGGATTGCAGAGACAATGACAGCCCACTGTTTCTTTATTTTAGGCCCTGAAGCGATCACGACTCTGCAATTGGCTCTCGTATTTCCCTTCAGCCGGAAAACATTATGGCTTCGCTGATGTGCTGAGGGTTTGCTCTCCTCAAGCCACATGTTGATGGACCGAAGGCTCCGCTGCGGTTTCTTCATCTTCCTCCTTTTGCTTCAGGCATGCTGATAATAATATTATAGCTGTTGCTATAATTAGATAAACGAATGACGTAAAAATTCTAAAGATCATTTAAATGGTTGCATTATTTTATCATAAAAATTAATGCATTTATAATATAACTACCTCAAACTGAAGTACTACCTCACATCCATTTTTCATTTTGCTGTATTGTAACAGTATGAGAACTAATCAAATTGAACCCACAATTAATAACATTTCAAATGTTATTTCCTATTCTACATCTGTCAACAAAGGTCGCTCAGTTGGCTAGAATTGCAGGCTTGTTATAAATATGCATTTTAGTAACTGTCATAAAACTCTGAAGTCTCACATCCATTATGTGGTACCTTAAGCGACAGTTCACCCAAACCTTTTTGAACTAAGGGTCCTAACTGAGTTTGACTATTGCTTGTAAATCAGATTCATGAAAGGAAATATTTGTGAAATATAAAAATTGCAGTGTGAAATGTTCAACCTAGGCTTAATCTGAATACGTACCCCTACATATTTTTCTGGAGAGCGCCAAATATGTCCCAGGAAGTACTTTTTTCTTTGCTGTTTTTGCTTTCGCAAATCACTAGATGTCACTGTGTATGCTTTTTGAGATCTCAAATTTCTCTCACGAGTGCCATTCGAGCCTGCTGTTCTCGCGGAAATCCCCCAGAGGCCGCAGTCGACTGACTGACTGACTGACTGACCGATCAACTGACCCAAGCTCCTCCTTCCCTAAAAGCACCGATTGATCAGTGCCCACCCACTTCACTAAACACAACCGACAGTGTCAATCCAGACAAAAAGAAAAAAAAAAAACTAACGCAGCAGCCTGGCTTTTACCACATTTTCAGATTTTACCACATGCTCACATTGTTATTTACTTCCCTGCTTTCTGGAACCGTTCTTCAGACTCAAATCCAGTCATCGCGGTCAACTCAGCTCAACGTCACAAGTCCGCCAATGTACACGGCGAGCCAATGGACATACTGGTAACAACGAGAAAGCTGTCCACATGAAGGTAAGCGGTCAGCTGGTAAGCTTGAAAATGAACAGCGCCAAACCCAGGGATGAGCAAAAATACATTAAAATGTATTTTAACAAATATGTTTTACAAAATAAACTACAAAATACAGCAGCCACAAATGTATCAAAATAAAATACTGTTTTTTTTATGGCAACACGGTGGCACAGTGGGTAGCACGTTCGCCTCACAGCAAGAAGGTCCCTGATTTAAGCCTTGGCTGGGTCAGTTGGCATTTCTGTGTGGAGTTTGCATGTTCTCCTTGTTGTTTCCCCTACAAGTCCAAATACGTGTGGTACAGGTGAATTGGGTATGCTAAAATTGACCGTAGTGTATGAGTGTGTGTGTGTTTCCCAGTGATGGATTGCGGCATCCGCTGCATAAAAAGTGTGCTGGATAAGTTGGCGGTTCATTTCGCTGTGGCGACCCCAGATTAATAAAGGGACTAAGCCGAAAAGAAAATGAATGAATGAAAGCTGTATTACAATCTTATTGTTTTGATGCTTGAAAGCTCCATTTTAACTTTGTCCCTTACATAAATACAGTGTTATTGCAGTTTATGTATTTTATTTGGAAAAAAAACTATAAAAACACAATATTAGTTATTCATATGACATGAAATGTTATCTAAAATCGATGTAAAAAACAATGTACAGTTGAAGTCAGAATTATTAGCCCCCCTTTAATTTTATTTTTTTTAAATATTGCCCAAACGACATTTAACAGAGCAACGAAATTTTCACAGTATGTCTGATAATATTTTTTCTTCTGGAGAAAGTCTTATTTGTTTTATTTTGGCTAGAATAAAAGCAGTTTTAATTTTTTTTATACATTTTAAGGTCAATATTATTTATTTATTATTTATTTTTTAATAATTAAGATATAATTTTCTCCTTAAATACTAATATTAAAAGTGACATTTTGGTTGCAAATATACATCATGTAAATATACAGAGTCAAAGCGTTTTCCATATTCCAAATGCATTGTTTATTCGGTTTTATCCCCCAAATGTTTGTCTGATGATTTTGATCAGCACAGACGGAGGGTTGGACATTGGTGCGTGTTCATGTTCAGAAAGCTGATCTATTAATATCTGTCTGTGAATGAGGAGCGCGTGTCTGTGTGTCTATCGAGAGCATGAGTCATTATTTCGACTGATATGTGCTCACAGATAAAGCTACGGCACACATAATCAAAGAGGCAGGCATCCTGTCACTGTTGCCTAGCAACCGTAGGAGCAATAGAGCCAAATCCCTGTGCAGGCGGGAGGATGCTGAAGAGAGAAGCTGAAAACCGATGGAAATGACTTGTTATTGTGGGTTACAGTTTTATAGATCACATATTGACATAATGCAATACAGCGTCTGCAATAAAATGAAATCTGTAATGCTTCGGTCTCCTTATAGACGTTTTCATCTTGACCATTTTGGCTGTCAATCAAAAAATACAACTGTTTTGGCAGTAATTTTAATGAAATGTTCATATTTCCAACATATAGGCTCATTCTGAAAATGTAGCCCCTATATATATTTATATAGATCATGAATTATGTAGCCAGAGGTACATTTCGTCTTTAAAACTAACGCTACGGGTCAGTATGACCAGGTATAGGCAGTATTTATGATACAAGTATTTCAAATACATATTTTAAATAAAAATAGTATTTTGTAATTTGGGGCGACGCGGTGGCGCAGTAGGTAGTGCTGTCGCCTCACAGCAAGAAGGTCGCTGGTCGAGCCTCGGCTGGGTCAGGGGTCGCCACAGCGGAATGAACCGCCAACTTATCCAGCATATGTTTTTACGCAGCGGATGCCCTTTCAGCTGCAACCCATCACTTGGAAACAACCATATACTCCTATTCACACACGTAGACTACAGCTAATTTAGATTACCCAATTCACCCATACCACATATCTTTAGAATGTGGAGGAAACCAGAGCGCCCGGGGGAAACCCATGCCAACACGGGAGAAAATGCAAACTACACACAGAAATGCCAAGTGACCCAGCCGAGGCTCGAACCAGTCACCTTCTTGCTGTGAGGCGACAGTGCTAACCACTGTGCCACCCCAAACCAAGATAATGCACCACTGCACCACCAGGCTGCGTAATACAGCTTAACATTACATTATTATTATTTTACAAAAATCATACATTTAACTTTGTTTAAAATCTTTACTAAAACCAGCTAAAACCAGGCTGGAAATGGCTGGAAAACAGCCAAGAATGGCCAAAACCCCTCTAAAACCAGGCTGGTCGACCAGCTAAAACCAGCTAACCATCCTTGGCTGGTCTAAGCTGTTTTTTTTTAGCAGGGGGGGCCGATCTGAATCGGATCAAATAAGGTCCAATCCCAATTTTACCCCTTAGCCCTTTCCCTTACCCCTTGTTTTGAGTGTTCACGTAAAGGAGTGTCCCAATTCTCTTTAGCTTGAAGGCATAGGGCTAAGGGGAAGGGGTAGATAGCTCTTCTAACAGAGATTTTTCAGGACCACACTCGAAACCAAGGGGTAAAAAATTTCCCAGAATACACCAGCCACAACAGCAGTATGGCTGAACCCGGAAGTCAGGAGATCTACAAATTAGTTTTTTTTTTTTTTTTTACAACAAACATGTTTTATTACATTTATAACTGTGCTCATGCTTAAAAACTTCTTCTTCTTCGGTCTTAGTCCCGTATGGTTGCTGGGTCGGCTCTTTGGAACAAGTCCTCCATTTTAGACCTGTCCATATGATAGCGACTTTTTTTACACATTCTGGCCGGCCTGTCGACTGGGCCTGTCACCCTCATACACTACAGACAATTTAGCCTACCCAATTCACCTGCAGCATGTCTTTGGACTGTGGGGGAAACCGGAGCACCCGGAGGAAACACACGCGAACGCAGGGAGAACATGCAAACTCCTTACAGAAATGCCAACTAAGCCGAGGTTCAAACCAGCGACCTTCTTGCAGTGAGGCGACAGCACTACCTACTGCGCCACTGCATCGCCCCTGTGTTCATGCTTAAAAACAAAATGCTAAATTTCTCCATTTTTAATCTTTAATAATAATTCCTGTATAGCAGTTCCACAACATTCTGACACTTATTGACACTGGAATACACTGTCAGAAAAGTCTAGTGGCTGAGAATGAGCTTTTTACAGTGTCTGCTATGATGTTAATGTTGTTTTTGGTTTGTTTATATTGATGAATATGTCCATTGTGTAAATATACAGTATAGTTATGATCTTAATGCCACATTAGATCGTTATGATAACATAATATATATGCCTTCAGTGATTTCCTGAAGATTCATTCATTCATTCATTTTCTTTTCGGCTTAGTCCCTTTATTAATCCCGGGTCGCCACAGCGGAATGAACCGCCAACTTATCCAGCAAGTTTTTACTCAGCGGATGCCCTTCCAGCCGCAACCCATCTCTGGGAAACATCCAAAC